GCATCGATGATGCAGCAGCAGCAGCAGTGCCTTCCATAGGTTTTGCACCAGAGGTCTTTTCTAGGTTATCCACATCAACAGCCTTCAACCCAGGTAACACCTTAAGCTGTTTCTCGTAAGTTTCTGCTTTCTCAACATTGACACGAGCAAGTGTAGTCACAAGACCAACCAGAGCATCTGTGCTTTTATGGTTTTTCACAATCTCCTCGTATAGCCGTGAAGCCTCCTCTTCTTGACCATGCCTGAGCTTGAAGGAAGCAGCCTCTGGCATCAATATGCTAAGCTTATTGTCCTCGGTCATCGAATTCGACCACCACTTAATTGCTGAGTCAAGAACAGCTGCAGCACCATCATTATCCCCAGCCCGCTCTTTGAGTGCAACAATGGTTGCAACAGTTGCAGGAAAATGCTGGATATCAGATATTTTGGACAGGGACTCTGCTGCTACATGAGGATGACTGGCGGAAGCAGCAATTTGTGCCCTGGCCAAGAGAAGCAACTTAGACTTTTCTGGGAACTTTTCGGCACACTGTCCCAGAAGTTCTTCAGCTTTTGCAGCCTTGTTCTCTCTCACAAAAACAGCAGCTTGGAGCAATATAGGAATCACACTCTCAGGAAACAAGCCCGGCAGTGCAGCACAAAGTTCTCGCGCCTGAGGTAAAAGATTCAAGTAACTGGTCAATCAAAGTAAGCAAAGAAGAAAACAGAGAGGAATAAACTAGATTTCAAGTTGAAAAGGACCTGATCCATCTTATTAGCATGGAGGAGCAGAAGGACCCGATTGGCATATATAGCCTCCTTCTGTTTCTGTGAAAGCTTCGCATCAAGTGCTTGAGTAAGCTGAAAATTTTGGGAGTCTTTTTCTTTTAGCCGATCAAGCTTCCTCAAGCCATCAGAAACATCTTTGGGACCTTTCAAGGCAATAAGGTTATTCACAGCAACAGCAATTGACGATTCATCAGGCAGATTTCGTTTAATGAAGTCTACATACGAGCTGGTCGATTCTTGAGTTTGTCCAAGAAGCTGATGAAGAGCAAAAGTATGTTACTAGCGACTGGAAGATATCTTGACAGGGGATGAAAGAAGAGATGAGCAGCATAAAAATACCTGTTGGACATATGCTAATTGGACAGAAATTGGGGCAAGCTCATTCTCAATATCCTCATCAGCAAAATCTTCTTCAGTAAGGGTTTCCTGACCAATTCTGTCTCAAACCAACAGTACATATTTATCAGAATTTAGTACACTGTACAAGATTTGTCGAATCAGTAGTCAAATGATCAATGTGCTTGAAGTGTTGATAAAAAAATACAGAAGAATGAAAATCATGTGCAACCCTAAATACCAGTTTGATTCGATTATCAAAACGAGAAATAAACAGTTGGCAGTGATGATAAGACAAGAAGGAACTGAGAAACAACAAATTTGCCGAAGTTACTGGTCCTGTTTAGTACAGCTAGTCCTAAAAGAATACATAAAAAAGAGCAATCCTAAGAATAATATGGCTCAAATTCCTCAGAGATGGAAAGATTATACCTCCCAGCAGTCAGCAACAGTTGTTCTGCATCAGTGTAGTTATTGTTTTCAATCAAAGAGCAAGCAGTGTTAAAAGCCAAATCATAAGTGTTCGTGGGTTTGATCCTCAAAGCCTCTAATGCTCCTTTCACTTGAGAAGATTTTCCAGCTGAAACCAACCCTGCGACGAGATTGATCTCTAAGGATTCAATATTAGATTTATGCAGTCTTTGATACACATCAACGCAAGCATCTGCTCTTCCCAAACGGTACAGAATCTGAGCTTCCAAAAGCGAAGCTGAATCTCCCTCTTGACCTTCCAAACACACAACAGCCTCGTCTAACTTGTTTTGACGGTATAAACAATATGCCTATTAAGAGAACAAAAAAGGAAAAAGAGAACCCATTAGACCCACAACCCAAGAGCTTATAGATTGAGCATTACCGTAAGACCAGTAAGATCGATTGATGCAAAATTAGTCTAACAAAAACTGACCTTTTGAAAGTCCAGATCGATCGGAACATTGTTGAACGATTGAATAACAGAGAGAGCATCATCGATCTCATCGTCTTTAATCAAAGCCACAACTTTGCATCGGATCGCATCCTCATCGGAAGGTACAATCGACAAAACTAAAACAAAATTCACAATTTCAATTAAAAAAATTCCATAATTGTAGAACGAGGGAGGTAGAAATCTGGAAAACCTTGATCGGCGACCCTAACGGCTTGTTTATATTGAGATTGCTCGATATGCCTATTAAGAGAAGTGAAGAGATCTTCCATTGCAGGAGGAGGCTGAGAAGTCGGGGTTTTGGGTTTTTCTTTCGATTTAGGAGCCATGAATCGGAATTTTCTCAGGAAAACCAAACACCAGAGAAGAAATCGGGATCCGTCTACAGATATTTGCTTAAGGGTTTGCATTTGTCTTCAACGTATGGAAGACTGGTTAAGATTGCGGAAGACAAAACTAATGGGCTTTAAATGGGCCTATAGCAGTTAGTTATCTCTATCCTCCTGATATAGGAAAGAAAAAAGCCTGATGCTCATACAATTTTTTGTCCAATTATTTTTTTTTTTCATATGTCCGATAAATCTTACTTAAATTTTTTGATATATTTTTATTTATCAATTAGATTATAAAAACATATATCAGCATTTTTAGTTATCTTTTAATTAATAATTCATAAAAAATAGTAAAGAAACTGCATAAATACAAACTTATGGATATTTTTATTTTGAATAGAAATAGATAAAATAAAAAGAATTATTTTATGAAAATATTAAATACAAGTGTAAATTGATTTTTAGTTTGAATAAAATTAAGTTTACATGTACCCCAATTCCTACACATTTATAAAGCTTTTTCCAATTAAATTTAGATACATATAAAAATATTATATATTTGGTAAACTATGTTATAGTTATATTTTGTAATTAATATGATAGAGATATTTGTCGATCAGTCAAACTAGATGTCGACATGCACAAAAACTATTTTTATTATATTTATGTGCAATGTGCATTGTAGTGTAACCTTTTAATGTTTTCCATCTTACTATATAAAGTTTTATGATGATTGATGAGATAGATTACGACGATTGATTTTAGTATGTGAGATTAATAAAAAAAATTATAACTCAGTTTTTTTTAATTATTTACATCATAGATATCATCACAACAACAATGACTACTCAACCTAAGAAATACATCAATTATTTCTTATTAAATGCATGACAATATATTTGTGTGTAAAACAACTATTACTGATATTGTATTACATAGTGGTTGGAATTGCATATCATGCTCAACTTGCTCAAAAAAATTGTTTAAGTAAATCACAATCGTTGAAGTTTTGAAGTATATATTCATAGTTTTTTTATATATATTTATTGTTTATATAAC